AGTTTGATCAATGGTGACAGGACAACTGGCTGTCCACTACGGGAAAAATAAAGTTAGATCTACTTCTCATCACATACAAAAGTAAATTCCAGACAGATTAAAAAATTAAATACAGAAAGTATTCAAAGAAAATACGCGATAGTTTTCTAATAACACTGGGATAGAGAAGGCCTGTTTAAGCAAGATATAAAGCCCAGAAGCCATAAAAGAAATGCCTGATAAGTTTAGCTGTCTCATGGAAATCTCAAGACTTAATACATCCGAAGGTACGTTCATCACTGCCCCAAACCTGCACCTTCTCTGGTTTGCCTCATCTCGGTGAGTGGCACTCAGATCTTAGACGCATCCCTCCTCCAGCCCTCCCAGTCCCCTCGTTAAGTCTTGCTCATTCTATTTCCTAAAAATCTCTTGCCTCCATCTGCTTCTCCACATCACCAGTATATCTCCACCTCCATTTCCACCGCCACTGGCCTAGTTCTGGGCTACCATTTCTGGCCTGGACCAGAAATACATAGTAGAGTCTGCTAGTTGCTGTCTCTGCCTTCTGCGTTAACACCCCTAATCCTTGAAAGATAATTCTGAAACACAAATCGGGTCCTGTCATGCTCCTCCTCAAACATGTGAGTCTCCCCATCATTCCCAGAACAGTGAAATTATAAGCTCCTTAGTCTGGCATTTGGGGCTCTGCAGGGTTTCTTCTAGATGGCCACCGCTGACCTCGCCGCCTTCATCTCGCCGCTCCCCTGCCTCTTATTCTTCATCATCCCCCACCTGCTCAACTTAAATTTGTGGGGCACACTCCACATTTCCCCTCCAGAAATGTGCCTGTGCTGTTCCGTATGCTGAGAACACCTCCCCACGTCAACCCCGACTTGCTGGCCGGCCCTCTCTGCATGTTTAACTTCGTCCTCCCAGGAACCCTTTCCTGAACCTTGGACTGAACAAAGTGCCCTTTTTTGTGCCTCCTCTCATAGCACTGTTCACACCGCACCACTTATAGATGCAGTCTCTGAGCTCCTCGAGGGCAGGGAGCTGCAGAGTCTGCAGCCCTGTGGCCCAGCATGGGCCTGCGCAGCCGGCACACAGAAGGTGTCAGTGTGTATTTGCTGAATGAATGAGTGCATGAATAGATGGCCTTCCAAGAGCTTCCTTGGGTCCCTTCCCTCCTGAGGGTGGCCCTGGCCCAGGCTCTGCATCCTGTCCTCTACCGTTCAACTCCCAGACAAGTGCAGCCAACTGGAGCGTGTCAGCCTCAGGTGGTTGCCCTGTGTGTGTTCTTGCCGGCTGTCCTAAGCGATCTGAGCCACCCTTCCACTAGCAGCTATTTTGCCAAGCAGATATTTGACTACCCTTGGAGCCAGCCAGCAAGCTCATCCTTTGTTAGGTGCTGGCCCCCACTCACCTCTCTGAGGGGATTTTGCAGCCGACCCCCCCCCCATTACAGCCTTGGCAATGTAAAAACACGGAAAATTAATTCCAACATTAAAAATATTAATGCCCCCCAAAAGAAGAGGGCAATCTTGTCACAAGTTGATGTTCCTGCAGGAACATAAAAACAGGTTAGTCTTCTAGAATTTGGAGGTGAGGAAGACCTACTCTTGGAGGCCTCCATTGTGGGCACAAGGCTCCCTGCCCCCGACCCCAGAACAGCCTCAGGCTGGCCTCGGTAGCTCAATGACGCGCCACAAGGTGGGGCTGCTGACCCAGATGGCCCCAGAGCTTCGAGCAGAGGACTTTCTGGGAGGCTCACCCGGTGCTCTCTCTGAACTTATGGTCTATTAAAAGCCCAGATTTGTCTCTCTGCTGATCAGTGGGTTGCACTGACTCTTAGGTAGGCTCTCGGGGCTGTCTTCCCCAGTCTGGGTCTCTCTTCATTGTGGTGGGCCAGTTGCAACAAGTTAAGACTCCAGAATCCCCAGTGGACAGGGTCAGTAGTCAGAGTTTGTGGCGCGAGTGACAAGTGGTTTCACCAAGTGTGCTGGCCCCTGTGTAATCTGTGCCACAGATTGTACAGTATACACCTTCTCACCATTGGGTCATCCAGAAAACTAGCATCCTTGCCTTCCCTTCAAGAAGAGAGGAGGTATTCCAAACACAGCATGTGCAGACATGTGGGTGCATCACCCGTTCAGTCCAACCAGTAACACTGAGGGAGTATCTGTTGTCACCCCTAGTGAACCTGAAGTTTGGAGAAACTCGGCACTTGCCGCAGGGCACACAGCCAGTGGGCGAAGTTAAAACTACAAACAGGTCTGACTCCAAAACCCACTTTGTCATTTTCAGAAAACATAAGTGGTTCCTTGAGGTTGGAATCCGGGCGTTGGGGGTAGAGAGTGATGGGGGTGAGACCAGAGATAGCAGGGATCTGTTTTTGCAGGGCCTCTAACTTGAAGTCATAATAAGGAGTGTGTAGACTTGAAAGTAAGGACAGGGGAGCCACTGAAGGGATTTAAAGAGAAAAGAACATGATCAGGTTTGTGTGAGGAAGATCACTTTGGCTGTAAGAGAATGGATTAAAGGGAAAAGAAAGAGGACCAGCTGCTGTTGTAAGAGCAGGAGATGATGGGGTCTGGGCTGGGAAGTGGTGCCAGAATGAAGGGAAGTAGATGATGAGACAGAGAAGAAGATAAAGCCTGCCCTTCACGCTTGATTGGTTTTGGGGGGAAGGCAGGATTGTCAAGCTTGAATCAGGTTTCTTCTGGGACATTTGGGAGTGCCATTCACTGGGATGGAGAACATAGGGGAGAGAAGGAGCTTGGGGGAGAAAATTAGTTCACTGCTGGACGTTTTGAGTTTGTATGGATACCTAGGAAGAGATGTTCCAGAGGCGTTTGGATCTGTGGTCTGGAGCTCAGGAGAGAGGCCCAGACGAGACAGCAATTTTCAGAAGCTCAGGATGTGGATGAAGCCATCTGGCGTGTAGAGTGGGGAGAGGTCAGGGGCGAGACTGGGGCACATGGACCTTTGCCCAGCTCCAGACGAGGCACAGGTGGGAAGTCAGTGCTCCCCCACTGGATGGCTGGTGGCCTGGGTGGGGAGGAGCTGGGCACATTCACTTGGGCCAGGGGAGGTAGATTGAGCAATTTGTCCAGCAATGAGGGAGGAGCCAGATGAAGTCAATAGAAAACTAATTTTCTTTTCTGCTGGAAGAAATGAGGTGTGTGGCCGCTGGGTAATTGCAGATAACGAGGGGACTTATTCTTAATATGCACAGCAGCCACGGTCCCCAGAGTGGTCCCCAGAGTGCCGGAGACAGCAAGGATCGGAGGGGCCCTGACAAGGCCAGATTTATTTGGGAAGAAAATCACCTATCGTAGCCCTTTCAACGGTGCCGTGACAGCCCCTGGACCCTGTCATAAACCCTCCCCACTCCTGGGGCCCGCCTCTCCTGCACAGCCATTCCTGCCCCATTCCCCTTCCTGTCGACTGCCTAGCTCCTGCCGTCACAGCCCCCTCCCTCCACCCTCTACCCCCACAGCACAGGCGTGCACACTAAGGGAGACAAATGACGGGGCCTCAGCTGAGCGGGGCGCGTGTCCGGCCCATAAACCATGGGGATGGGTCACGTCTGGAGTTGCCATGGCCGCCACTACCCACCCATCTGTCTTCTCACTGTTCCGCCTCAGACCAGCCTTCATGGCTTCCCGAGCACCTAGAGGGTCACCTGTCCATGCCCACATCCACCGTAGCTACATTCATACTGAGCTCTGAGAGACAGGACCCCGTGTGACTTGTCTGGCCTGACCTAGAGAGCTCGTCTGCCGAGCGCCGGGTCTGCAGAGCTGGTCTGGCTGATGATACGGGGCCTGGCCTGACCAGACTTCTCCCACTCCCACAGTCTTTTTCTAGCTCTGGTGGATCCCCTTTCCTGGTCTAAGGCCCTGGCAAGGGCAGGCTGGGAGCTCAGTGCAAGGGGTTGGTCCTTGACAGACGCAGGGGCCTCCTGACCCCACCTTGACCTTACCACCCCCACACCTGATTATGACATCGACGTACTTCTGCCACCACAGCATCTACCCCACGACGGTGGTGGCAGCTGAGGTCCTGCTTATGGCACAGGAGCAGAGCGCCTATGGGAGGTGGGAGGGGGATGGAAGCAGAGGCAGGTGAGGGAGTCGGGGCCCACGACCATGATACTGCGGCTCCAGAAGTAGCTGTTCCTGTGGCCGCCGGGGTCTAGGTCAGTTTTCACCACGGAGTTTCTTACGGCAGAGTCAATACTGAGGAAGCTGCTGCGACAGGGTCTCGCAGGCGCAGATGTCTTTAATCTGAGATATGGCCAGAGACAGGGCTGAAGCCTGCCGGGGTGGGAGAGGCAGGGCTTGGGCTGAGCTACACAGGCGTGTCTGGTAGAAGGCTGCCGGCCAGGGTGTTAGGAGGACCACAGACCCGGCCCCTCTCCACTGGCCTGGGCTGCACAGGAGCAGGCGCCCCGGCGGTAGCTGCTGGAGCACGTGAGCCTGGGACCCCGGCCCGGAAGTGCCGAGACTTGTGCCTTGTCACCAGTGATTATGGCCTGGGCCACATCTCCCACACACATGCAAGTGCCGGCAAAGTCACCCTGGCCGTGGGCGTGATGAATGGCTGCACAGTAATGAAATGGAGACATCAAGACGGGTGGCGGGAAGACGGAGTGTGGCGGACGGGCCGTCCCCACGCGGCGGCAACAAGAAGGATCGCCCAGCGGCCGGGGGCCGTCAAGGGAGAAATTACACATTTACTCTGCCTTTTTCTTACTGCGACGGTGCCCATACATCACCGCTGGGGCCAGGGAGGGACACGCCGGCCAATTTCCAGCATGAGTTATGGGACTCAGAAGCATTGAGACCAGGCTTCTTGCTGGCCCAGCATCACCCGGCCTAACCTGAAGCTGGAGCTGCTGCCACCTGGGGATAGGACCCACTGGTTTAGAGCCTATGGCTCCTGAATCTGAACCTGCCTCCCACCCCCACCCGTGTACCTCTGGGGCCCATCTAAACGTCTTCTCTTCCTCTTTTTAGATGACTGCAAGAACATCGCCAACATCATGAAGACACTTGCATACCGAGGCTTCATCTTCAAGCAGACATCAAAGCCGTTCTGACTGGCCGAGGATGGGATGGGGCAGGACAGGGTAGCTGCTTGGCCCAGCCCAAAACCCTCCTCTCCCTCACCAGAGGGGCAAAGGGAGAGTGGCACAGCTCTACGTCCAGAGTGTCCCCCAGCCCGCCCTGTGGGCTTGTGTCCTGGGTAAGGCTTGGCCACTTGGCCCCTCTGGAACAGACACTTTGTGCCCCCTACCCCCTCCCCTCAACCTCAGCCCAGTATCAGGGGCCCTCCCATTGTGGGCCTGGGCTGGGGGACCTCCTCCTCATTGTCTCCTCCCAGTACAGGCTTCTTGCTGGGGCCACCAAGCCCCCCTGTGCCCCCTCCCATCTGTAGTGCATGGTGTGTGGTGCCCCCAGGGCTCCAGGACAGATCAGGCCCCACCTTGTGTCTACCCCCATCCCCGCTGTGAACGTGCCACTGAATAAAGTCGGGGAAACGAGGCCCTGGGTGTGTGTGTGGACCAGGCAGTGCCGTGCCTGACACTGTCTGGATATGCAGGGGTTAGAGCATATGCCAGGCTGTCCTGTGCTCAAGGCCACCAGTAGAGCTGGCAGTCTCTGGAGCACCTAGGGGACCCACACCGAATATGCACAGGGCCCTGGGGACTGTCTGAGCACAAGGCTGTGTGTGCTCAAGGCTACGGTCATTGCTGTGTGTGAACCAACCTGAGTGCAGAACCACGGGTGTTCCTGGGTACAGGTGTTTGGGCAGAGCTGGTCAGTGGTTAAAGGGCTGCTAAGGGCCTCAGTGCAGGCAAGCCCCAGCGCCATCCCCATGGAGTGGGTATGGTGATCCCCCTCCTGCCCACCCTCCCAGCCAGGGGCATGAGAAGTGGTGGGAAGGAAAAGGAAGCAGCCCAGTCCAACTCAGCAGCTCTATTTACACAGCACCATCCCACACCCCATGTGGCCCCTCACGGCTTCTTGGCTTTCTTCACAGAAGAGGAGCTGGAGGCCGATTCCCGTCGCTTCCTCTGAGGAGACACAGAAGGTGCTGAGGTCAATGGCCCCCAGGGTCAGATTCAGGCTGGGTGCACGTGTTTCACTCTCTGAGTCAGGAAGGTGATGCCCACTGACCGACCACCCACTCCCTCATTCTCAGAACCCCTCAGAGTGACGACTCCTGTTGCAGGCACTAGAGGGGGTGGGGCCTGCGTACGCACGTGCGTGTGCTCACTAGCAGGGCTAGCTTGCGCTCTCCCGGCCTCTTACCGAATTGGGTGTGAGGGGTGCGCCCACCACATCAATGATGGCGTCCTTGCTGGGGTCTGGGCCAAGACCGGGTTCAGGCACCGCCGGCTCCGCTGGGGCCGGGGCTGGGCCCGATGCCGGTGTGGCGGGGCCCCCCAGCACACCGGCCCGGGCCAGCGCCTCGTGCCGGTGCCGCAGCATCTGCAGCTCATACTCGCAGTTGGCGCATGCCTGCTTGAGCTCGTAGAGCAGCACCAGGTCACTCCGCAGCTCATTGAACATGTGTACCAGCTCCTCTGTGGGCGTCGGGCTCAGTTCTGTGGGCAGGTGGGTGGAAGGCACAGGGACAGAGCTGGAGTGCGGTGGGAGGCCGGCAGCCGGAACTGCCCCCCACGCCCGGCCTTCATCCGCAGCCTCGGGGGGGACGTCCTGAGGGGCTGGCCCCCGCACTCACCCACACCCAGCTCCAGCAGCATCTGTTCCAAGGCCTTGATCTTCTTCTGTCCCACAGAGCTCGGCAGCTTCATCTGCAATGACCCAGGCAGCTAAGCCCTTTCCCCGCCACAAGCGGTTTAGAATGAAGGAGACTAAAGGCAGTGGGGGGAGTGGAAGAGAAGTTAACCCCTAGAGGCAGCTCTGGGTCACAGAAGAAAACAGCCAGTAAGCGGAATAGAGCGAAAGCTGTGAGCTCAGCCTGGCATCCCCCTGAGATCCCAGTACGTCCGCCTCCACCTGCACCGGCCCCATGGCCTGCAGCATTCAGGCCGCAGAGCCCAGGGCCCAGACACAGTGAAGGAGGTGACTCACGTACCCGCTGGCTCCGCAGCGTGACGCCTGCGGACTTGAAGTCTGGGAACTTGATGCCTGCAGTCTCAGGAACGGCCTGGGGGAGAAGGAGTTACGGAGACCAGGGTGTCACGGGGAGGGGGCCCAGTGTTAGTCCCAGGCCCCTGCCGGCTCCGCGTGCCCTCCACCCTGAGCTGGGCTGACTTGGTCTCCACACCGGCTTCTCAGCCTCCTTTTTCTGGGGGAGCTTCTTCTTGGGGGCCTTGCGTTCCGTGCGCCGCTGCTCGGCAGTGGTGTCCGCCGCTGTTATCAGCTTCTGCAGGTCCTGGCTGCGCTTCTCCCGCTCCTTCTTCCGGGCCTCGATCTTGCGCAGCTCCTGCAGCAGGTACTCCTCCTCCGCCACCTGGGAAAGAGACGCTGAGACGCCCGTGAGGGTCATGGGGCGGTGAGAGGAGACGGGGAGACGAAGGGGTGCCGGGCTGTCTGTGAGGGAACCTGAGCAGCAGGGGATCGTGAGGGAGGTGAGGGCTACAGAGAGCAGGGAGGGTGGCCGGCGAGAGGCAGGACTGGATGGGGGCGGGAAGAGGGGGAAGAAGGGGAGCCTGGGGTGAGGGAGTTGAGGGTATGGAGGAGGGAGGCAACAGTCAAGGGGTTTCACGGCACGGAGCAGAGTCTGTGGGACTCGGGCTGACCTGCTCTGGGGTCCGGTTATAGAGACGCTCCAGCTGTTCCTTCCGCCGTCGCTCGTGCCCAGCATCAAACACTGGTATCTTGAGATCTGTGCCTGGCACGGCCCGCACGTTGGCAAGCTTGGCACAGATGTGGTAGTAGCGCTCCTTCAAGTCCTCCACAGAACGCTTCTGAGGATAAAGATATAGAGAGAGGGAGGATGAATACTCAGAGGCATGTGGAAAGGAGCTCATGAAGGTAGTGGGCCTGCCACGCCCGGGGGTTGGGCCCACCTGCAAATGCACGGATACCAGCTCACCTTGAACTGCTGGTGGTCATACCGGTCATGGATAACAACAAAACGTAGGTCAAAGCGGCGGCTAAGGTCAAAGAGGTGGTCGGTTTCTGCCTTTGTCCAAGCGTCATCATGAAGATAGAGCTGGTACTCCTGCTCTGAATACACGGGCACCTGCACCGTCTGCAGGCATGGAGGGACAGGGGGCACGCCCACGTCACGGCACGTCCCGCAGGCTCCAGCAGCCTGACCACAGCCCCTCCTGTTTATTGTCAATCCCTGGGCTGGACAAAAGCAAATCCTCTGCCTGGGACCCTGCACAGGACACCTGGAGATGATGTTTCCAGAGCAAGAAAAGAAACTCTCTGCTTGACCAAACGCCCTGGCAGGCTCTCGAACTGTTGCCTGCCTCTGAATCCACTCCAGGACCGACTTCATCATGCCTTCGGCTCCAGAGCCTCGGTAACAGGACACATGCTCCTGACCCGATGCTTAAGGTGAGGGGACCACGTGTAAGTGCTTCTGGGGAGTCCAAATGTCAACTTTGGAGTAAGGAAGATGGCTAAATTCTGGAGAAAGGCCCAGGAGCCCTAGTCATGGCACACTTGTCTGAAGCACTCCTGCCACCCAGTGGTGACAGTGAGACTTGCAGCTCCCCCAGAGCTGGCCAAGGTCACATCTCTAAGGGAAAGGCACCTGAATCCTACTCGCAAAATACGCCCCCCACCCCAACACCCGTGTCCTGTCCCCCAGACCTCCCTCAGGGACAAAAAGCACCACCACCAGCTGCGTCTATCAGTCAGAGACCCCAGGAAAGAGACAATGCTAGGCTGGACCATGGAAGTTTCTCCATCAAAGACCACATTGGCTCTGAACCTGCTCTCAAAACCCTTATGTCCAGCTGCCTCTTGGACATCTCCTACTGGAGATCCTATATACATCTCAAACTGAATATGTTCAGGTGATAGATGTTAACTAGGCTTACTGGGGTGGTCATTTCACAATATATACAAATACTGGATCATTATGTTGTAATGAAGCTAATATATGTATGATATATAATAATTATACCTCAATTAAAAAAAAAAAACAAATCCTAATATGTTCAGTACTGAGCTCATCGCCCTCCCTCAAACTCCTATCTCCCCCAGTCCGGATCTCAGTCAATGTCACCATCACCCAAGCGGAAACCTAGCAGGCATCTTTAAATCCTACCTTTACCCTTGACCCATCCCCTTTCCCACATCTGTGGATTTTACCTCCCAATTCTGTATCTCCTGCCACAACCCTGTCCAGACCACCACTACCCCTTGCCTGGATAGAGAAACAGCCTCCCCACTGGTGTCTCTGCCTCCATTTAATCCTCTTCCAAACAATTCTCCATCTGCAGCCAAGATGTGACCTCTCTGAACACTGCTACTTAAAATAAAAAGAAGCTCACCATCAAGCAAGGGAGATGGTCATTCATTCAACAACTACTTTTCATGGGCCTGCTAGCCCTATGCTGGGGACACAATGCTGAATAAGACAGATAGGGGCCTTGCCTTCTCAGAGCTCACAGTCCAGTTGAAAATTTAGTAAAGTGCAGCGAATTTGATGACAAAGGTATGCCTAGGGTATAATGAGTGACACCTGATGCCGCCTGGGACAAGGGTTGTCAGGGAAGAGGTAAATGGAGCCTGGTTCAGTCTTAAGGTTAAGTAGAACTGAACCAGTGAGGGAAGGCGTTGGAGAGACTCCTAAGCAGGGGGGCCACATAAACAGCGATGAGAGAGAAATGGCCTGATGTGTGCGGGCTTGGCAGTCAGGGACACTAAGGGAAACAAGAAAAGGGTGAGACAGGGAGAGGCCTGAAGAGAGCCTGGAGACAGAGGCAAGCTGCTGCAAGCCTTGTGTGACTGCTAAGGAGTCTGGAATTCATCCTGTGGGTGACGGGAGTCAGTAAGGTTAGTTTTAAAGAGAGGAGTGAGATGGTCATGATTCTCTTTTACAAGGACCACCCTGGCAACAGTGAAGACGGGGTGAAACATGAGCCTGGGAGACCAGCTGGTAGGTTTAAGAAATAATCCAGGTGGGAAGTGAAGAGGCCTGAAATAAAGCAACACCAGTGGAAGGTAGAGAAAAGGGCATGGACTTGAGAGGCTTTAGATTAAACATCATAGGATGTGACAACTGGCTGTGAGGGGTGAGAGAAGATGCTGTCATAGGTAACTCCTATGTTTCTGGCTTGAGCAGGAAAGCGGCTGGGGAGCCACAGACTGAAAGCGGGACCCCAGGAGAGAGCAGTATTGGAGGGAAGATTGTTAGTTCCCTTTACTTCGACTTCACTCTCCACCCAGTCACCACGATCTTTCTAAAACTCAAATCTGATCCCGACACCTCTCTACTTAAAATTTGCCAGTGGCTCCCTAAAGACATCAGAGCAAAGCCCAAATTCCTGAGCCTGGCTGCCAAGCCCTGCCTGACGTGGCCCTGCTGCCCTCTCAGGTCTCATCTCCCACCATATCCTACCCTGG